GACGGCAGCGAAACAGTTACGTCCCCAACTAGATCGAGACACTGAGTCCCTATTTAAGGAGGAAATAGTGAAACGAGTATCTGAGGTCGACGGCAGGACTTCCCCTGAGGTAGCCTGGCACAACATACAGTTAGCTGTAGATACAGCTGTAAAAGCTGTTAATAAGCTAAAACCAAAAGTTAGTAAGAGCCAGTGGATCTCTACCGCCTCATCCGAACTGACTGACTCAAGAAGACTGATTCCGACGAGCTCCGATTATGACGAGGAGCGAAAGCTACCCAAACGAAAACTAACAAGAAGTCTTCGCACCGACCGTGAACAGTGGTGGGCGACAAAAGCGAAAGAGATGGAGAAGGTGTTGGCGATTGGCAACACCATGCAACTATATAGGCTTATCAGGGAAACAGGTGGTAAAAGGCAAATGATAAGTGAAACAATCTCTGAGAAAAATGGCACCATAATTAGCTCCCAGGATAGACGAGTGGAACGCTGGAAAGAACACTATGAGGAGCAGTTTAATTGGCCTACAGCCACGCTCAATCTGTCGAACATCCAACACCTCCCTGAATGGGACATAGACACAGGTATTCCATCCCTAACTGGGGTTACTAAAGCTGCCATTAGTCTGAAACAAGGCAAAGCAGCAGGACCTGGTGGAATAACTCCAGAGGTATTTAGGTACGGTGGAGACAGTTTACTCTCTGCATTAACTGAGGTACTAGATGGCGTCTGGGAATCAGAGGAAGTCCCATCGAGTTGGTGTAAATCAGCGATTATCCCCACATACAAGAAGGGAGACAAGTCTTGCTGCGATAATCATAGAGGGATTAGCTTGACTAATATAGTATCTAAAGTCCTAGCCTCAATAATATTGCATAGACTAAGTGTTGCTCGGGAGGCACAAACACGAGAGAACCAGGCAGGGTCAGGCTGGAAAAGAGTCAGCGGTGGTCAAACCAAAACATGGCACCAGTCAATGAAATCCACAACAGTTAGTTTAAGCCAGTCAGTCACGTAGGGAGGAGTAGACTTTCTGATTGGGGTCCTCGGGACGGTAAAAACCAATGAAGGTTGGAGACAATTGGTGATATGGGTCAAAGTGATCGTTCTCAATGGCTGGTGCAGATGCATCCACTCCTTGTGACTTATGATTTCCAATGAAACTATATTATTTTTCGTTATTACTATTTCTTTGTTTCACACTTCTTTTACTGTCTCTACTATGCATTTCTTCTTCTTTCTTCTCTTGCTCTGTGTGTTACAAGGAGGTGTGGGGACTTGAACTGCCGCACATATGTGCAAAGTTCTATGTCGAAAACAGACAGATCGAAGTGATTTAAACATTCGATAGCTATTTCGCTCGTTCCAGGTGGAGCTGATCACCGGTGGACCCGGTTTAACTCAGCTCAGACAACGGACTCCTCAATTCTGGTTGACCAAGTGGTTGAACTGACGATGCATTAGGTCAAATCAGCGATTTCCACTGTAGACAATTAGAGATAAAATTTCCCCGTAGGATGCATTACTAGTTGGTGTGAGTGGTTTCAATTTATCAGTGGTATATATCATTGCACGTGTATGCTTGCTGTCTTGATTGCTATTTATGGTTTCAATATGAGATCATATGTTGTGATCTGAATAATTTCAGTTTAATTAATTTGTTAATTGAGTGTTGAATAAATAAATTACACCAAGTTATGCTTGTTTATTACTTCTCACCACCTCTGATGAGATTTATGCATATTAATTTAATGTACCACTGTGTGATATAGTTGTGAGTGTCTTTTGAAAACTAGAATCAAGTGACCAGTAAGTGTAAGAACCAATCAACGGGTGCTGTAGAAACCCTCAAATTCAATAAGAATATACCTACATTAATTTCAGAGAGGGAATATTACGATTATCTACCAAACTTATATGTGACCACTTTCTCCTTTATTCCTTATATTCTCAAATGAACATAATGTTTCAGTCTTTGATGCCTTGAAGTTCCAGTAGCGGTTGAGTTGTTTTATCTATGGGATGAGGTTGTCAGTCTCTCGTCCAACCTCTTCTGCCCTTCAGCAATACTACCAGAGTTCAGTAGTTTGTCAGCCTGTGGTTAACCCACATGATTGGTTGGTTAGCATGTTTCCGTGCTGAACAACATAAACACTTGTGACCACTGAAATTAGTTTATTTAAACTCTCATTACTTCGAGTCGATTTGAACTGTTTATCGTTTATGCTTTCCCATATAATACGTGTGACCCTTGTTCCTCATTTCTTCTGTCGTTATTAGAAATAACTTCTCGGCAAATTGTCTGTGTTTTAAACTTTGTGTAACACAGTATGTGAACAATAGTCATAATAATAATAATACTAGTACTAATCAAGAACTGCATACATGTTTGTTTATGCACTATTCTATCAGTTAAACTTCATAAATTGATTCGTAAGTGAAGTGGACTTATAACTGTTGATGTCTTGATAATTGTACCCAGCAAAGTGAAAACGGTTTATCGACATCTGAATTTAATGCATGTGTATATGAACTCCATACAGTAATGTAAATAATCATTTCTACATATTAATCATAGAAGAATGACAGATTTGTTGTGTTAAATTACGTGTTTGTTTTGTATTTTTAATATTTCTCGTGTGCGTTGAATTTTATGTAATAGTTTGATTGATTTTGTGGGGGTAGGGTTGCCAGTCTCACTCTCAACCCTCCCTCTTTTCCTTGGCTTTCAGACCGGCTAGAAAACTAGTAACCTGAGTGAGGTTTGGCCCTTCCACCGGGAGTCGAACTCGGGCATTCCATATGACAGGCGGAAATACTCACCAATATACGGGTCATGAACTTGACTCGTCATGAAGAGCCTTTCCAACAGATTAAAGACTTTTATCAACAACTGCCCACTTCGCTGGTTCTACACCGAAAATGGAGATGAATTGAGCATACGTTGAGGAGGCTGTCGAATGATATCGCGTGCAACGCAGGCCATTTCTCTAGTGGAATCCCCATGGGGAGCGACGAGTGGGTCGTCAGTGCAAGTATGACGTTGAGGAGATCGTCCGAGTTGGAGGAGATGAGAGACTATGGGCAATCTTGGGGACAGCTAAATAGGGCTCCAAAGAGAAGGATCAAGTGGAAATGTGTTGTTGAAGCCCCATGTTCCACTCGGAACCCAAGGGAACACCAACATAATAATAATATGTTAAATTACTATGAATATCCATTTTATTTAGTTATTCAATTCTATCTTAGCATATTTGACTGTGATTTATATCTTTTCATGACTGCCGAAAACCAAATCAGATAAAGCTGATTTACATTGGTGATCTAATATCTAATAGTCAGATAAAGTGATCAAGAATTGGCAAGGTACAGTAGTAGTAAGGTGGTTGATCTGTGTGTAATCAACTGTCCAATATGAAATGTATCAACGGAAAAAAACCCCCGTCTATTAACTTGCTATTTCTCTATGCTAGTCATAAAGTGCTCATTATTTATTGATTGATTGATGTTTGTGTTCAACTTGTACATCATATGACTTGCAATCGATTGATCACATATATCGCTTATGATTACAACACTCTGGTAGTTTAATTTAAAGAATTATATCAAATTATGATTAAGAAAATTATGCATTTAATAATTATATTTTAGTTGTTGTTCGACTGAGTTTACATTTCAGCATAAACTGGTCACTTTCACGTTCATTTATTCATGTGCAGCGTATACATCAAAACGCATACATCCACATGTCCAGTTGAACATCAGGTTCCTTTTTATTATTCTATTGTGTGGCTTGACTTTTCTGTTTCTATGTTTGACCATTAGAACTGTCTGTTTAGAGAAAATGAAGCGAATACGGGAAACTGATCAAGTCATTGATGTAGAATTCCACAGCCTAATTCAAACTTTTGGCTGTTTCAAAATATTCTTTATGTGGAGAATATATATTATTGTTCCTAGTGATACATAAGGCTTCAACAGCACATCTATGTTTCATCCTTCCTCTTTGCAGTCCTGTTTAGCTATCCCCAAGATTGCCCATAGTCTCTCATCTCCTCCAACTCGGACGATCTCCTCAACGTTATCCTCGCACTGACGACCCATTCATCGCTTCCTATTAGGATTCCACTGGAGAGATGGCGTGTATTGCGCGTGATGTCATTCGACGGCTTCCTCAACGCATGCTCAATCCATATCCACTTTCTCCTACATGTTTGTTGAGAAATAGGCTCTTGGTTGGTTTGTTTCCAGCCAGAGTTTCTTGTTGTTAATTCTTTCCGACAGGGATTTGATCTTCAGTATAGAGCTAGCGAAGACAGTTATTGATAAAAGTCTTCAACCTGTTGGAAATGCTTTCCTTGACACGTCAAGTTTCTGACCTGTATAGAAGAAGTGATCTTACATTTGTGTTGAAAATCCGAATCTTATTTTGTTATGCTGAGTGCGGTGCAGAAGATTTCCAAACCAATTTCAGGTTGGTAAAGGCGTATCTTGCCTTTCCGATTTTGGCTGGCTTTGAAATCTTTATCCCTTCCGCATGTATTTGGGTTCCGAGTGAGACTTGCTGCTTCAACAGTGCATCTCCATTTCACCCTATATTTTACAGTCTTCTTTATATGGCTCTACGGCTATCCATCAGCTTTCATTTCTTTCTCACAGGATCTCCTCTATGTCATCTTTGGACTCCCAGCTTATCGTTTCTCTTTCGGGTTCAAGTGGGTGGCCTGAAGCGATATGTCACTCAATGGTCTCTTCAGCGTATTTCCGATCCATCTACACTTTCTTCTGCGTATTTGTTGGTTGGTTCTCTGTCAGAGTTTTTCCTTGCCTATCCTTTTTGTTCAGCCGTCTCGTCTTCAGTATCGAGTGAAGACAGACATCTGTTAAACTGTTTGTTTATTTAAAAGAAGTAGATAAATGATTTCTCATTTGTTGTTGTTGTTCTTGTTGTTATTATTGATGGTTTCGTCTTGTTCTGTTTCATTTTCTAACTATTTTAGTGCTGAACAACGAGTAAATGATAGTGCTAAGAGTAAATTGGGCAATCAGGTATGTGCCACTATTGTTATCATTATTATTGTATAATTATTATAAGAATTAAATTACATGAATCGGGATCTTTGTTTTGTATATGACATAGACGAACCTTTGTGTATATGCACTGACGGGATATATATATATATATATTGCATGGAGGATTTCATCATGAGCTGACATCAGTTAGAGAACCACAGGAAAACCTGGGAGTACTGGACAGCTGTTTCGTCCTAGTTTGGGACTCTTCAGCAGTACGCACCCACAGGGGTTCGAACCCAGGACCTTCTGGTTACAAGGCGAGCTCGTAGACCATTGAGCCACTGGACCCGATCCGATGGTCCTTGAATTCTAACTTCTGCCAGTTCACGATATAGCGCGACCACTTCGCAATGTCTTCTTCGATGAGTTACTGCCTCATCTTCGAACCCCTGTGGGTGCGTACTGCTGAAGAGTCCCAAACTAGGACGAAACAGCTGTCCAGTACTCCCAGGTTTTCCTGTGGTTCTCTAAATGATGTCAGCTCATGATGAAATCCTCCATGCAATCAAACGAAATCCCTACAAAACCAATACTTGAAAATATATATATATATGCATATTCTCTAATGACTTTATTATTCCAAATAACATTCTTCTATTCTCTGTAAGGAATTTAAACGATAATTCAGAAGGCCTCTAGTGCTTCTTTCATTCCCTCTTAGTCACAGGATTTCTAAGTGTTGTATGTAACCAACCAAACCGGGAAACAAGAGTGAAGTTTTGAGCTTTCATCATCCTCTTGGACAGCTGACTGATATAACCGTGATTCATTTTTATTTCCGAACGAGGACAATATTAACATTTGTCTTTTTCGTCTTCTTCTGGATCTTACTGTGACAATTTATCAACATTTGAATCCATGAGGAATGCAAGTCTGTTATATTTTTCTTTTGAAATGGGATCACTGAATTTGTTATTTTAGACAGCTTTGAAAGGTTCCTGCTAAACTCATTTAGTTCATTCATACTATGGTTGTGATATATTATGGATTTCAAGTCAATTTGATACTTTTTCTGTTGAAAATATTGCTTAATAAGTGGGGTGGGGGGACAAGAAGATAGCCACTTCAGCGTTAATATCGAAAATCGGAAAGAAAAATCCTTTGAATCTCTTCTTATTGTTCACAGTCGTAACTGTAGATTTTGTAATGAGTATGTGAGCGATGTAAGAGTTAGCACTTGTGGAATATCAAGTGACACAGCCTACAGTGTCTGGATGAATATGTGTTGTCATTGCCCCTGAAGCATGAAAAATACCCATTTGAATCTTCAAAGAGTCCCTTAAGGATTGCAGGCATATCTCGCTGGTGAGTGTCAACAAGTATGAAACCTAGGTCTAAGGTTTCCTGTTAGTTCCTTCCAATCATCTGACATCTGTCCTGCAGATATGTATTATTATTATTGTTCGTCCTACTGTATCGCAATCAGTTAGTTTGTCCATTTTAGTGGTTTTACTTAGAAACCGTGTAGCAGCTAAAAAATACAAGGAGAATTAAATTTGTTTGTATTTTTCTGAATTCTTTACACTTGACTTGCGAACAAGTAGGTCACCAGACCGAACCCCTGCGTTATCTGTCAAAGTTTAATTGACCGCTGTTATAATAATCTTATTAACAACTTTTTGCCGGTTAGATTTCTGTACAACTTAGAGTGTAAAACAAACGAAGTTAATGGAACGAGCATTGGAGAGTGATAATGATCAATGAAGCCTTCCTGTGTGCTTAGTGTGTGTGTGTGTGTATGGATGGTTATTACAACTGGAGCTGCCCATACCGTTAAAGTTGATTACTTCTGAAAAAATATCTGAAAGTGAAGGTGTTGTGTCACTGTAGAGCCCAGGGAACAACTGCTTGAGGCTGGTCACACACATTGCCTGTTTGAAGTAGTTTTTTTTGTGTTGTGTCCGTATTAAAATATTACTGCTGGCTATGGATAGCCTAAAGGAAAGTCGGAATATACAATTTCCGAGGTTGAATTTTCCTAACCCCTTCTTCTTCCGAGCGGAGAGGCAGCATAGCTTGCTTGCTGTTCCTCTGACGGACACGCATTACTGCCGTCATATCCTCATTCACCGGGATTTCGATTTCGCCTGCAGACTCCAATATAGCGTAAATGACTTACACTATGATGGTAACTAGTTTTAAGCGTTGGTTTGTAGGGATTTGATTGGTTACAGGACTTCATCATGAGCTGACGTCAGTTAGAGAACCATTGGAAAACCTAGGAGTAATGGACAGCTGTTTCTTCCTAGTTTCTGACACTTTAGCAGTACGCACCCAATGGGGTTCGAACCCAGGATCCTCTGGTTGCAAGGCTAGCTAGCTCGTATACCATTCAGCCACTGGGACACGATCCAACGGCCAACGCATGAATTCTAACTTCTGCCAATTCACGACATAGCGCAACCGCTAGCCAATGTCTTCGGCGAGTATTTGTCCTCACACCCGACCTGCTGCACCCTACTGGTCACGACGTCTAACTAGCACGCCAGGTATACGAGCTCGTCTTGTAGCCAGAGGGTCCTGGGTTCGAACCTCGATGGGTGCTGCGTACTGATAAAGAGTCCCAAACTAGGACGAAACAGCTGTCCAGTACTCCCAGGTTTCCCAGTGGTTCTCTAACCAATGTCAACTCGTGATGAAATCCTGTAACTAGTTTTAGTTTTGCCACTATCCAGACGACTTTTCTGTCATCGTAGGGTAGGATCTACAGGAAAATTAGTTCCAACCAATGTAACTTGTTCGTTCATTACGCTGTGCTGGTCATTGCTCCACGTCATGGTGGCAGCTATCATCGATCAGGGCTAGTCGAATAAGCAAAAGGCGACAGTAAGGATCCTAAAAGTATCTGGAAAGTCTCAAAAATCTGACTGGCCATAAAACAACACTTTTCTGTGCAAAGTTGTATAGCAGTATATGTTATGTCACACACACACACACACATTAGTTCAACCGTATTAGTCTCTTTTGGCACTTTTAGAATGGAGTTCTCCTGTCCACAGGCTAGTCGTTCAATAATCATAACTTAAGTGAACACGGAATTTCGTCGAAGCCTCATCACTTTCAACGTTTAAATATAGAACTTAGACAAAATGTTGTATAAACAAGTTCTTTATAAGAGATTTATATATTATACATTTGTAATAACTTGGCTTCGTTGCGTCATACAAGTATTTCCAAGTTATATACGTAAGAAATCACGAGTTACAAAATGATGAATATATTTATATATACATATATGTAATGTGCTCGTAAAATCCTTTCCAAGTCATTCAATTTTGGTTAGTTATTATGCAAATTATTATTACCAAGTTGCGAATTTTTTTAAAATCCGTATACACTTTATTATGTAAGCACACCATGTCTAGTGTCCATTTCAGTCCTGCATAACCCAGAATGTCTCCATGCTTACATCATATTGTAACAACAGAAGACAAGAGCCAGGCAACCGATCTTTTATTAAGGAAATCAACCCGTATTTATAGATTTTCATGTACATATTATAGATTATTGTTAGCACAAAAACGCAGTCTTATGATTGGTTGTTTCTCACAGAAAGTTAACCGTGCATCTCTTTGTGACTGTTTCTTGAATGTCAGATCATCTCTATGCTAACTGCATCCGCCTACGCAAAGGCTTTGTTCTCATTTTTCTTACGACCAATATTGGGGACATAAAGATTGATGTAAATTATTGTCCACCAATTTTGACTAACAGCCAACTCTCACTTCAATGTTATCATTGATGCATTTATTTCACCAGAAAGACAGAAATAAATTAAGTTGATCTGATTCTCGGTGTTAACCAGAGACAGGACGAAGTTGCCTGGCGTTCTGGTGAGCATTCATGACTAGTGGGGTTCACCAAGTTGGGTATGAGGACAAATACCCGCCTATGATTTTGGCTGGCGGTCGCACCAAACTCACGAATCGATAGAAGTTAGAATTCATGGGTCATTTGATTCCGCCCCAAGTGGCTTGGTAACCTGAAGGTAGTGGGTTCAATCCCTAACGCGTAAGGTCATAGGTGTGTACTGACGAAGAGTCCCAAACTAGGACGAAACATCTGTCCCGTACTACCTTGCTTTCAGTGGCTGTCTAACTGATATGAATATGCGGTCAAACTTTAGATAAATCAAATCCCTGCAAACTAACTCTGTCGGAGATTTTCAAATACCTTTGTGAATAATATTTTCCTATAGTCTCTTCTTTATTTATCCTCCATTTTAGGTTATCTGTAAGGGTTGGCTTAGTTTAATCAATCCAAGTTTATTACGTGGTGGCAGTCGTTATTGTTGGTTTGTGCTAACCGCTGATACACTGACATGGTACAAAGATGATGAGGTAAGTTATCCTTCGGTTGATGTTTTCTTTTTTTTTGGTTGTCACTAACTCATTTGATATTGTGTCGTATTCATCACCGTTAATTTATGCGTTTCCAATTTATGTTTACTTTCGTTGGGTGTTTTTCGCGTTTGGTTTACTGTTTTGGTTTACATATATATATATATATATATATATATATATATATATATGTCTGCTTTGTATTTTGTTACTTGGCTTGTTGTTTACCTTCCATAAATTACACACACACACATTTGTCTTCATGATGATATAACAGTTATTCTGTGTCAGTTGAATTTGGTGTGTAGATATGACCACTGGAGAGACAGAAAGGAATACATTGTATGCATTCAACTATATATATATATATAGATCTCTTATTGATTGACTGGTTGGCTAAATAATTAATATTTTATGATTATTATTTTAGGACAAACTAGAAAATTGAAAGTGATGGGTTTCTTTCTCATTTTCTAGGACAGATTCATAATTCTCTTCTCTTTTTTTGTATATGGTCAGTGATGGGTTTCTTTCAGTGGGTATTTAAGGCATAATCTTGGCTTATAGTCTTATAATAATAGTAATACATGCTAAATAATTCACTGTAAACCTTTAAGCAATCGATCAAATGTTGTTATTCAGCCTGTTTTATTTCTAGTTCAGATGGTGATATTTGTAGTTTTGGAATAGGGGAGATGCGGTTCACTAACTTAATCAGTGGAAGCACTGACTTCACATCGGAGTTGAAAATCCGGATCTTATTTTTAATTCTGAGTGTTGTTGACCTCCACACACACACCTTAGAGTAATGAAGACTGCCCTTGCTTCCCTGATGATCCTCGCTATGATATCCTCATCAGTTGCGTCCGTCTGTAGTTGAAACGACGCTTCCTTTCTTCCAATCCGCCGGTGCCTTGTCCTTTTTCCACACCTTCTCCAGTAGTGGTATAATCAAGTCCGCTGATGTCTCTGGGTCCACCTCATATACAATAAGTATGGCTCATATCCCGGTACTTAGAAGCCGAGTTATAATCAGTCAACTTCATAGAACTTAAACAAGTCAGACGTCTTTCAGCCGCAGAAGTGATGGAAATCTGCATGTTAAATCTTAAGCTCTGCATACAGAAGAAGAAGAGACTTGTTAAGTTACTGAACCTACGATAAACCAACTAATTTGTCTTAACACTTATTATGTACTCGTCGCCAAATTATTGTTATGTACTGGTCGAGAATTTAATAGTCCTGAACCAAGAAAGACGGAAATCAGAAGACCACTAGGTTTGCGATGATACTTCTATTTTCCAAAACACCGGGAGAATCAATATGTCCCACAAGAGTGTGAGAGCAAAAATATATATGAATGTTCGAACAAGTGTGTGAACACAAGTGTGAGGGCGAATATTCAAAATGAACAAATCAATAGACAGTCTTAACATGATTGGCTAATTATAATGGAATATCGATCCATATATACATAGCAAAATATATCAGATTGTTAAACAAACACACAATTTATATGGATACATGTCACCAAGATCAGACTGTCAAACAAACACACATATTATATGGATATATATATCACCTCCCCTTTTGAGAAGATTGATGATTGATAGGGTGTTTTCCTGGGGGTTTATCTGGAACCTTTGAGCTTGTTGTTGACGTCTGTCGCTTCGTCTGCCTGTTGGGTTTGCGGCTTCGGCTTCGTCCGGAATTGTCTGACATTTTATGCTTCTTGACTGCATTGCATAGCGAATTTAGTGGGACATCAGCCAGATGCAAACGATCGAACCAATCAAGTCCCAAAAGATTTAAATCACTCTTGGTGACGTAGCAAATTCCTGTGAATTTGATATTGCGGAAGGAAACAGAACATTTGAGTTCACCAATTAGTTTGAGCCGCCCACCACAGGCGCTGACAAGAGTCTGGGAAGTATTTGTGATAGGTGGTCTGCCAATATCATTCCAAAGTTTCTCTGATATAACAGTAATATCAGAGGCGGTATCTAGCTGCAGACGTGTATCATGACCATTCATCTGAAGATCAAGATATTTCCGCATACCTGGTGTTGTGACTTGACAGGTTGCGACTAGACTCATTGACTTTTTTGGGGATTTAGGACCAACAGTTTGTCGAGCTTTCGCTGTATTTTGATATCTGAGTTTGCGTGGCTGACAAAACCATTTTTAATGACCAATGATTTTGCACTTGCTGCAACGATGATTTTTGTATGGACAAGACTTTACAAAGTGCCACGCGCCACAATGCCAGCATGGTGATGGTGGGGTCTTCTTTGCAGTAATTTGAGAAGTTGGACGAGTATGTGTAGATTTCCGCGGAACATTAGGAGAAGGTGGGTCAGGAGTGGATGATGAGAGATTTTTGCTCTTTCGTAATGCATGAATATCAGAGCTTCTCGAAGGTGTTGATTCGACCAGGTGTGTGTCTTTCTGCAAATTAATCAGCCGTTGATATTCATCAGCTATGTCATGTAATGTTAACTTAGGATTTTGTTCTAGCTGATTGAGCAGTCGAGTTCGGATATCTGTGAAACGAGGAGATTGAAGACTGCATATGAGAATCAAGGCTTTGAATTGATCATCTGTTAAGGACCTGAGTCGAAATCTCTCACATTCTCGGTTGACTGTGCCAACGTGAGTAAGAAAATCATCATTTTCATTCATTGTCAGCTTGAGGCAACGATAACGTATGCTGAATAATGAGGAGTGGTCTCCAAAATGTTCACGCAGCAGCTTTATTGTATCATCGAAACACTTGTCACGTGGTTTTTCGGGTAAAATTAGGTTGCAGTACCTTTCATATTCTGCGGGACCCAATTTACGTAACAAAACTCGCACCTTCCAAGCATCGTCTTGTGAGGCGAGATCAACTGTGAATAAATCCTCATATCGTTGATACCATGTGTCAAAAGTGACATTAGCATCTGGATTATAATTGAACTGTGAAATACTATTCACAATCCCGTCGACAGATGGTAGCATGGTATGATTCGGATTGCTTGAAGGTGAAGTTGGACCAGTCTGTTGGTTGACGAACATTTCCATTAATTTCATTTGTCGTTCAAATAGTAATTCCAATTTAGAAGGATCCATAGTTTTCCTCGTCGCCAAATTATTGTTATGTACTGGTCGAGAATTTAATAGTCCTGACGCAAGAAAGACGGAAATCAGAAGACCACTAGGTTTGCGATGATACTTCTATTTTCCAAAACACCGGGAGAATCAATATGTCCCACAAGAGTGTGAGAGCAAAAATATATATGAATGTCCGAACAAGTGTGTGAACACAAGTGTGAGGCGAATATTCAAAATGAACAAATCAATAGACAGTCTTAACATGATTGGCTAATTATAATGGAATATCGATCCATATATACATAGCAAAATATATCAGATTGTTAAACAAACACACAATTTATATGGATACATGTCACCAAGATCAGACTGTCAAACAAACACACATATTATATGGATATATATATCAACATTGGATACATAGTCTTTGCTAATCGAAAGTTTCTAGTTTCTTGGATTATATTTTAACCCCCCCTACCTCCATTCTTAACTATTATATTTGTGCTCCTTATTGCATTGATTTTAACCTGCTTCTCTATCAATTTTAGTTGAGATCTGCTCTGTATTGCATAATTGTTATCAGGAACTCACAGTCCTATGGGCACATATGAATTAGTTTGTAGGGATCGCGTTTGATTCAGGTTAGACCATGGACTGATATCAGTTAGAGATCCATTGAAAACCAGGGTGTACTGGACAGCTGGTGTTTCATCCTAGTTTGGGATTCATCGGTAGTAAGCACCCACTGGGTTTCAAATCCAGGACCTTCTACTGGTTACAAGGCAAGCTCCTTTGAAACCCAGTGAGTGCGTACTGCCAATGAATCCCAAACTAGGGCGAAACAGCTGTCCAGTACACCCTGGTTTTCAATGGTTCTCTAACTGATATCAATCTGTGGTCTAACCTGGAACAAATTTACTTTTTATGTATATGACTGCACAACTTGAGAATAATATCGCTGAAAAAAGCGTAACACTTCTCTGAATGTTTATTCATTTATTTAAACGCCTAAAAACTTGGTACAATATGGCACCAAGAAAGATGCACCACACAATAATAATAAAACAACATAGATCAAAAGAAAAAAAGAAAGAAGAGAAATATATATATATATAAGTAGAGAACGGATAAAGAACTTCATCTGGAAGGAAAACAGTCATGCTTAACAAGTTCAAACAGTATCTGTTAACTATCATCGCGAAGGGAAGAAAGAAGGAAATTGCAACACGTGTAATAGCACGCGATAAGTTCCATTGATTGTTTGTTGCTTTATTCAATTCATTGTGTGCCGCCTGAGATACTGCCCGGGCGCCCAGACCGAAGCAGGTGGTCTTATTGAGGGACCACCACCACCTGAGGCTTTGACTTGGAGTCTAATCCGCAAGGCAGCGGAGCAGCATCAGGAACTGCATTCCCATGGTTTCCGGTGACCCATATGGGTTCATACTCCATGTGATCCGATTGGATACTAGAGCCCATGTACCCCATGGTTACTGCTTTTAGTTTAACCGCTATCCACACAACCCTCCTGACATGGTAGGACCCGCAAGGGCAGAGTCCCAGTCAGTTTAACATGTTGGGTCATTACGGTGTAACAACAGAAGACAAGGGCGAAGCAACAGATCGTTTTATTATGAAAATCAACACGTATTTATACATATTTCACATACATTATTATAGCTTATGCAAGTAGACAAGCGCAGTCATCTGATTGGTTGTTTATCAGAAGTTAGCCAGACAAACGCAGGCTTCTGATTGGTTGTTTCGGGATTCCTCGACAAATAGAGTTCTCTATCTGCGAATCATATTTTGCCACGTTACTTTGCTGTGATTGGTTGTTGAATCAGCCTTGCTCATATTTTCTCACGGCCTGCTCTCACCACAACGGTATTCAAGCCCGACCACTA